GGGGAAAAGGAAGAAGTGGGGTGACAGGCAGGCTGTGATGGAAAATATGATGTACTATGGAGTGTTACAGCAACATCAATAAGGACAGCATTGTTTATGAGGTGTTAATTGGGTATTTTGATGAGTCAGGTACTTCTGAGCTATTTACTTACATTCACTCATTTACTTGAACGACATTCCTATGAGGTACAGTCTATTGTCATTATTTTAAAAAATGGTAAAAGTACTCCCCAAACTAAAATGCTTAGCAAAGGGTTGATTTGAGAAGGTTCCTGTCAATTCCTTGTGTTATTATTATTTTTAAATCCCAGAGGGACAAATTATAACTCCAATGGAGACTGGTTAGAAAGGGAGTCCTGTTAATGTGCATTGTTGACCCACATTCCAGCAACACATCAGTTCTATAAAGTTGTTGTACCAGTGCTAAGGAGGTCACGAGCTGTGTTTAAAGTTCAGTTTTCTGACTTTGAGGGTGAGGGAGACAGGTGGGGAAAAGGATGACAATGAAAGACGAAGTGTAGTAATGGAAGACAGATGCCACCTTTCCAGCTTGTCAGTCTCTACCAGTGTGAAGCAAGGATGTCCTCATTGTCACAATGAGGAAAATGTCTGCCTCTGCCTCTTTCCACTAACCTGATAATTGGGACCTGTCTATATGCAGGTACTGAAAAGTGAAACCAACATTTTTATTATCCCAGGAACATCTGGCAAGTGGCTATTTGCAAGACAGTTGTGTGTATATATACGAAAAGCAACATATATTATGGTGACATTCTCTGTCACGAGAAGCTTAAGAGATGAAGCTGGTTTCTAAATAACACAGGCCTCATTGGTTAAAAGGTTAATTTTAGTAAGACTGAGAGGCTGCCCCTTCTCAGACAAAATATCAAAGTAGAGAATGTTTTACATTTAGCAGAGCCTCTTTAGGTACCTTGGATACATAATCTCTTTAAGATATATCATAAAAAGAGAGATACTAATCAAAAGAGTAAAATAAAGAAGGATTTAGTAATCTTTCTGACTCATCCTTTTCATAATATATAATTATCTACAAAGAAACCAGAGAGGCTACAGGTTCACCCCAGTAAGAGGTCTCATTCCCTTATCTCTTAAGATAAGGCATATCCATATTACTGTACCCCTAGAAATAAATCTCTGAGGTATATAAGGCACATATTAACCTGATTAAAAAGAAAAGCATCCGAAGTCCAGCATGAAGACATTATATACAGGGAGTCTGGCCACTTTGGGCCACTTACTTGTTAGCTAGGTGGCAATTAATTAAAGCTCTCTAAGCCTTGTTAACTGATCTGCAAATTGGGGGTACCTTTAGTACCCATTGGACTGCTGTGAGGTTCCATAGAATAGTCTATAAGTAAAATCCTTCTAGATAGTGCCTATTACACAAGAAGATTAAAAAATGTTGTCATCACTTGAGTCAACAAACTGTCAGTCACCTTCTATGGATACAATGAAAATTTGGTTTGTTTTCATTTCCATATTCTGGGAACTCACTTGGCCTGACTTTATATCTAGAGGAGCTCCACATACTCTCTCACTGTCATTGAAGGCTGCATTAGTTCCTTCCTGCCATCTATTCTTTCTTATTCTCTTCAAATCTTATCAGAGATGCAATGATCTATTTGTCCGATCTGACCCAGCTTTATTTTAGTCTTGAGGGCATTCCTGTTCTCCATTCTGCATCCCCAAGTCAGTGCACACAGGGAAAACACAGTCCAGTGGAATTTGTGGAGTTTGAGGGAAAGTTTAAAACTGGATGCAAGAGCTGTGCTGTTCTTTCTCTTTTCTTTTGTTCTGTTTTCTTTCATACTTTTCTCTATCCAATTCTAATATAGGTTAAGGATATTTCAAAATATATCTGATCGAAATTAATATTGTACAACTAATAAAATAGAAAACTTCCAATTAAGCAGGTATCAGTTCATATAGGTAACTTGTTTTAGTATCTCACTAAGGCAGAAACCAAGTGACATGAAAAAGCCTAGCTGCTTCCCCAAATATCTCTACCCATTTCAGTCCCAAGACACTCATTAATTTTTCCTGGGGATTTGAATATAGAAACATTACATTATTGTCGCAATAAACATTTCTACAGGGATCACTTTATTTGGGAACATTACCAATGAGAAAAAAAATTGAAATACTGTATTGTATATTGAAAAACTCCTTCCTGAATTTCATAAGAAAGGCCGCATTCCAAATATGAAACACAGACTCTGTATTAGGTTAACTTTCAAGTCAGAAAGGAGATTACTCATCTTTGGAATTTGAAGCTTTGCAATTGAACTATGTGTGCTGGGGAAAAGACATGGATGTGGAGTTGGGAAACTTGAGTTTTAAGTACTGCTTTGTTATTAGCCAAGTGGCTTGGATTAAATATTTAACTCTTTTGAACCTTAATCTCACATTCTTAAAATGAAGAAGTTGGATCTCTAAGGTTCCTTCCAGATATAAAATTTCACATTAGTCAACATTCAGTTCACTTTTAGGAACCAGGTACCTGCTATTTGAAGGTACTGTACTAGGTGTTAGGAAAATGAAAAGATATAATATAGCAAGTTTCCTGACCTCAAAGGTTTATAATCTTGTGGATTATTAAAATGACCAGGTAATATTTGCAGAGCATCATGTAGTGATTTTATTATTTCTATTTCATTATTCATAAAAGATGTGGGCCAATGAGGTTCAGCAGACTAAGAATGAGCTTTGCCTCTTGATCCTCTGGCTGTAGCTGACCTACTGCAGCGAGCTGGGTAAATTACTCTAAGTCTGTATTTTACTTGAAAATAATCAAACTGACTCAATTGAAAGATATGTTGAGAAATAACGAAGGCTGTACATTCTATAAATTTTTATGGACACCATGTATGTGCCAAGCGAGTGCTGAGATCTAGGGAAAAAAGCAGTTGGTAGATCCTTCATATAGCTTAACCACTATACAACTATAAAATCTGCAAATAAATAAATATAGCAAAAGGCTAGCCAAAAAAAAATATTGCGGGCTTATTTTAATTTAGAAGTGACAAGAAGCAAGCTTTTTCTTGTGTTTTAAAATAGTGTCTTAGCCCTTGAAACAACATGAAAGTGACAAAACAAAGGAAAGCCCCAAACACATAAAATATTACACATACCAAAAACGAGAACTGTGTGCAAAAATACATATTGTTTTTACTCCTTAGATGTAGAAAATATGAATGGGATAAAGAATGCAAGAGCCTGCTCAGGGTGGGGGCCTACTTATTAGATCTGCCCAAAAAGGAATCACCTATGTATTTTGATACTAGGGTTTGAACTCAGGGACTCACACTTGCTAAGCAGGTGCTCTACCACTTGAACCACTCTGCCAGCCCTCCCCTGTCTATCTCAGGGTCCAGAGGCACCTACCGTTTTCTCTGAGGCCTAGCTAAGCAGCTGTCATGTTAACAGTGACCAAAAGTAGTTCTATGAAAGGTTCTTAAGAAAATCCGAACTAGTCACTTCAGGTTCCATTCTGAGATTCTGAGATTAGATGAAGTGACTCAGAAATGTCTGAATGAAAAAGATATAATAGAGATAAAATTATAAGCACACAATTTATAGAAACTACGATTCTATAATTTAGAGAAACTAGGGATCAAGAGGTGTGGAATGTATTACAAGAGTTATGTGGGACCTGAGCATTGGTTTGTCTGAACTCCTACTTTCAAATATCTTGTTTTTGGTGTGACGTTTTTGCCCTGATTTGAAAACTAAATTTCAGAACTCTGAAACTCAAAAGGTTTGGCTGTAGAAACCTAAGTGAAAACAATGGTTTTGTTTCCTGTTGTTTGATATGCTTTCCATTCTCTGTGGCTGGACCCGCGGAGAGCCCAGGTTGTCGCTGGAGCAGGTCCTGGGAACTGGTGCGAGTGCTTGGGGTGGGGGTGGAGCGGTCCTCCGTGAACACATCAAAGTATTTTTCCATCACCATAATGTGTGATTCAAGCAATGAAAGCAGGACGGAATTCCTGAAAATGGTGCATATTTTTGACTTAAGAAATTAAAGGGTCAGATTCATCTCCATTGACGCCTCTCTGTCAAGTAATAGCGTTTCTGGACAGCCTCTCGGATACAGTGATTAGGGCTTTCTTAGATGAGCGGGCTGGTGACCTGCACTGGGTGCCAGGCTGCCCCGGGATTCCGTTTATGCTGTCTGGCGGACAATGACCGTGGCATTCCAAGCCTTTTAAACAGCCCATTTGTGACGAAGGGGCCCGGGAGGGGGGGAGAGGTGTGTTGACTCTGGAAAAGAAATTCATTTCCAAAGTGGGGAAATGGGATATGGTTCCCACTGGAGGGTTTTGCTAGGAATGAAGGCGCGGCAATTCTTTTTCCAGTTTCCTGCGGTAGGAAACAGCTGGCAAGAGGAGTCCCAGTCCAAGTTGAACGAGGACTGGACTCCTGCAGCGAGCCGCTGGGAGGCGTACGGGACAAGCGATGGGAGACTAGGATGCGTCGCACCAGGCACTAGGGATGGGCAGACTTCTTTACTCCGAGCAGTGGGATTCAAGCTGCCCCAAATGCACTTCCCTTCCTCGGGTCTCGGGAGAACACTTCGCGTGCTTTGTTTCAGACGTCGACCCGTCTTTCTCTGTGGGTTTCCAGCTCCGCCAATCCCGCTCGCCACAGGGCGGGGCTTCAGGGTCAAGGTGGACCAATTCCCCAGCCTCGCCCCTACACGCGCTTTTGGACCCCCGGAGATGACTGACAGCAGCCGGGCCCAACCTGACACTGTAGAGAGTTGCCTCCGCCAGGGGCGTTACGGAGACGAAGGGCCGGGACCAATCATATTGCAGCATGGGGGCGTGGCCTCGATGCCAGCTCCAGACCGGTGCTATCGGCACTCCTTTTGTCAAATGAGAGCTGAAGAGGGGCGGTACCTCGGCCCAGGGCCAGCCAATGAAGAAGGCTCGAGGGGCGGGCCGGGAGTGCCTGGCGGCGGGTCTTCAGCTCCGAGCCGAGGTGCGGCGAGCCGGTGGGGGTACCGCGAGGCGAGCGCGGGAGTCCGGGCGGCGAGCTGGGTGGGAGCTGCCCGAAAATGCACTCGGATGCCGCAGCTGTCAGTGAGTAGCTAAGAGTGGACGTGCCGGGCAGTTGCTAGCACTCTCCACTAGGCTCCCGGTGTCCACGCCCCACGCCTCCTGTCCCGAAACGCGCCGGGAGCCCCTGCCCCGGAGCCACCCCTTCCCAACCCGGGGCGGGCGGTGACGCTGCGGGCGGCGTGGAGCGGGGGCGGGCATGGGGGGAAGGGGACGGCCTGCCGGGGAGGGCGGAGGTGAGGGGGGTGGGGACTGGCTCCATTTCAGTGTTGGGGGAAGGGGGGGGCGGGACGTGCGATGAAGGGCCCGGACCCCAGTGTCCGGCGTGAATGGAGGTGGAGGCAGCGCCGGGGCGTTGGCGGGCAGGGCCGAGGGTGGCATCGGAGGGGGAGAGAGGGAGCGAGAGAGCGAGTGGGGCGCAGGGGTGAGGATTTCCAGGGGCTGAGCGGTGAGGGCTGCTCGGTGAGAAAGGCGGGTGAGTGTGAGGGGAGCGCGGGGGCGGGGACAATGGAAAGAAGGGCTGGTTGGCGGGGGTGTGGGGGGAAACAATGGGGTAGGGGAACGGGGGCAGCGGCCGAGCCGGGCAGGAGGGCAGGCGAGGGGCTGAGGGCTGATGTAACGGAAGAGCGAGATAGTGGGAGGCATTGGGGTGTGATGAAATAGTTGGGGAGTCCGGCGCGCGGGAGGGGCATTGGAAGGGGTGGTAGGGTAACCGAGAGTGCGAGGGTTTGGGGGCAGATGTTGGGACAGTTGGGCAACTGGGAGCAGAAGGGGAGGAAGATGGGGAGGGCTGGGATGGCAGCATGGGGGGCCCAGAGATGAGGTGGGGAGAAGAGCTAGTTAGGGAGGACGGAGAGGTTGGGAGGGGCTGGGACACAAGGAGGACTGTCACCCCCAGGTTCGGTCCGCGCGGGACCTGGTTGACCGGCTGTGTGTTTGGGGGAGGTGCTTCCCCCCAGTCCAGACTGGGTCCCTGGAGGGGGCAGCCCAGAGCCTGGGTGCGCGGAGGAGAGGGGGCGGGGCCGAGTTGCAGGGAGGGGGGAGGTGTCCCGAGGTTGGCTCTGGCGGCCGCTCTCCCGGAGCCGCGGGAAGAGAGGTCAGCGTTGATGCGGGCGCCAGCTGCGGGACTGGGAGGCTGGGCAGGGGCGCGGGCTGCGGGCTTTCCGCGGCGGGAGCCTGAGGGGTCGGGCCCTGGAGGTCGGATGGGGGGTTTTGCGCAAGGGAGGTGTTGGGGTCCCTGGGTTTGGTAGTCTGTGACGCAGTTGTCTAATTTCTGGCCATCAGGTGTGGAGGCTGATGCCTCGAGACTCTGTTCCCTAAAAGAGGGCCGGGCCGGAGGCCCAGTGCAGCTCCTGGGTGGCGCGACCTCTCTCCGGCGTGCGGGGAGAGCGCTTTAGGGGTTTCCTTTAGGGTCTGGCTCCAGTCGCCGGTGCGAAGGGGAAGGGCAGGCTCGCGGAATTCTGGGACTTGTAGTCCAGGCCGTGCCGGGCCGCGGTTGGGTTGGGTGCACGTGGGTAACTGTGGAAACGAGTCCCACAATGCAGCGCGCCCTCGGAGCCTCCCTGCTCTGCCAACTCGTGTTTTATTCCCCTGTGACCCGGGCCAGGAGGGAGGGAGGCGCCCCAGCCCCCGCGACGGTGTCGGCGGCAGAGAAGAGCCCAAGCCAAGCACAGTCCTTTCTCCCCATCTCCAGCGAATTGTTTCCCCTCGCATTTGGTGGCCTTGTGGAATAAATGCTTAGTCTTGAACTATTTAGTATGCTGGCTGTGAGAAAATGCTCAAGAAGCACTGTCTAAAGCTGCCTCTAGGACGGTGTATTTATTGTGGCAGCCAGTGTATGGAAGCCCTAGGTTGAAAGGTACAGCCCCGTGTAAATATTGGAACGCAGAAAAACACATGGGGCCCTGAAGATAATATAAACTATGTGTTGCTATTTCTTGGGTTGTTTGGATTGCCTAAAGGGATTTTTTGAAGTGAATTGAGTGATGGAGGCAGCTTAATGGAATTTAGGGTGGAAATTGTCCCTTCGTAAAGCCAGCATGTAAATGGGAAGGTGGGCAAAGGGAAAACGTGAAAATAAGTATGGAAAGCAAATGAGACTTGCTTGCTTTTTAGCTGTGACTGTAATTCCTTAATATTAGAGACCATGTTCTCAAGTTTGTAGACTCCCAATCATCACATCCTTTGTCAGTTCCTTTTATTGTGATAACTCCCAAATCTAATGGCCATATGATTCGCTCATAGATGAGAGATTATGTGATATAGCAGATATTATGAAACTATTAGTAACATAGTCATTAGAAGGATACTTTAATGTTCCTAATGGTAAAAAAACTTTGGAAACCTTTTTGGTATGATTGCAGCTATACTGAACTTGCAAACTTACTGCATGAGAGTTCTTTTTGTAACGCCTGAAAAACAGGTCAATGTGTGATTTTTTAAATTCATATCTATCCATCATATTTGACTTAAGCCTGTGGTGAAATGTCCAATAAACCCTTTGTAATATGGACATTTCAAAAAAACCCCAAGCAAATTCTGGAATTTGCTCTTGGAAAGGATAAAGTGATCAGGTTGAAAAATACACAAGAGCTATAATTTCCTTCAAGATTAAAAAAAAAAAAGGCTAGTATATCTCCTTTTTCTTTTGTTCTATTACACCCAAAGGACAAGTGCCTTTTACACACATAATCTACCCCTCTCCCTCAACCCTCTCAAAGCTCTAGGCTGCTACAATCTCCGCTTATACTTACTTTCTCCTCTGGTTTTAGGGTTTTTTGGTTTTTTAACCTTGAGGAGGTCCTTTATTTTCTTTCGAGTTTTAATACTTTACCACTTCTGGCTTTCAGGGTTTTCAGGTAATCTTGTCCATAACATGTGTTAGAGAAGGTTTCCCTCATTCTCTTCATTTTCGAGAACTTTAACTCTCAACATTCTGTCCATTTACTCCCACCGTTATCTGTTCCTGGCCCCAAGAAGTGTCCCTACTGGTGCTTAATCACATTTTCTCCCTACCCCCCAATTTTTTTCATTATCTCCTTTTCTGTTTTTATCTTTATCTGCTTACAGTAGCTCTTTATTAAGTTATTCCTGTCTTCCTGTTTATGATGTTTGCATTATTCTCATCTTAATCACTATCATCATCTCCTGCTTATTATAGCTAATAATTAACAGCTAATAATCCAGCTAACTCAGCAGTATAAAAATCAGTCTGTCAGAAACTGATTTCATGATTTGTATTCAATCAGTTAGGGTGCCTTTGGCAAATAATGATAACTAAAAATTCCTTAAGTAATAGAACTTATTAAGGATGTGTGGAGGTTGGTGGTTCTAAGGCAGATGCAGTGGCTTAATAATGTCATTAATGAACCAGGCTCTTTCCGCCTATTTTTTCCTCTCTTCTTAGTATGTTGGCTTTTGATGCTCGGACTCCTTACTTCATGTTTGCAATATCATTGCCACAGCACCAGACATGCCCGTGTAAAAAAGCAGAGAGAGAAGGAACATGTTCTCTTATAATTCCTTCTTAACAGAAAAGACTCTTTCCAGAGACTCACCTTGGACACTTTTATTTGTGTGATTAGGTAGAACTGATCTCATGCCACTGTTGCTTGTGAGGGAAAGTGAAAATCTGGCATTTTCCTACTTCTGTTGTAGGATGTGGGCTTTGTGGGGTGGGAGAAGGGTGAGGAGAATGCTCTGGATTGGCAACCTACAGGTTGCACATCTGAAAACCAGCTCTCTCTGGCTTGGTCTCAATTTTTTTTTTTTTAACTGTTGATTTGTTTTATGCCTTATTCTAAAAGAACTAGCGGTGATTTACTATATCTATATAAAATCCTATCAAGAGAAAGAAAATAATTATATGTGGATTTCACAGGGTGCACTGACATGCCTACTTTGTGTTGGAAATAGGCCATGTATTTGGCTCTGAGCTTCCCAGTAGTTTAAACAAGGAGGAATCCAAGACCAATTAATTTTGTTCTTTAGGTTAATGAAACTGCAGTAATTTTAATAGCTGCAGTTGGGACCTTAGATATTTTCTTACCCTTTCTTTCCATGGTTGGTTGTGAGAAGGAGAGGCTGCATCTCTTCCCAGTCCTGTCCCCTCTTCCTTTACCTGTTGCCTTCACCCCGGAGCTGACCCAGCGTTCTGTTGGGATAACCAGTCATCTTTTGGCAGGCACCACCTGCACTGCCTTCACCTTCTCTACCACCAGTTGAGTGATCTTTCTTCTTAGGATTCCCCTTCCTACCCAAGAATCTTGAGGCTTCCAGGTGCTCACTTAAATATGGACTCCTCAGAAGAGAACTCCTCGGGTTGAGCAGCTGCTGTAGTTTGGTTGCCTCTTTCTGCCTGCCCTCAGTGCTGGACTGTGGAGCTGCCATACTCCGCCCCTCTCTAGTGGCTCTTTTCCCTCCCTTCCATTTCCATCCAAAGTACTGCTTTCTTCCAGTGCCCAGGTTCATGTTATATAACAGTGACTGCTTATTTACTTACTACTTCTCTCCTCAGATTGTCACCCCCTGAGAGTTGGGACCATGTCCTACTTAGGATCCACTAGCGTGATGCTCTGCTCAGTTGCTTGTATATATATTGAATTGAACCTCAGCAGTTAACTATTGAATCCTTAGTGAATTTTCTAGAAAATTTAGTTCTTCCAGCTGCTATCCTGCATGCTTCTGAGTCCTGTTTGTTACGTTTACATTTTTTTCAAGGAATGCACAATTTCACTTTTTATTCTTTGCCTTAATTTTTTTTACAAAGTCAGTATCTAAACTAATTTAAATAATATATTTAAAAAATACATGCAGGTATTATCTTGAATGTCTGGTGTGGAGAGATTATAAAGCTGGTGATGTGCAAGGGAACAGAAGGACTGTCTGATCTCATTCACAGAGTCTTAAGCACAGAAGGTTAAGGTGCGGTGACAAGTCTGTTCTGGAGGCCTAAAGTATTTCTGCTTTTCTCTTTGTCTTATGACTATATATGGGTCCTAAGGATTTTTTTTTAATGTTAACAA